TTTTCATATTTCAATACTTAGGCTTAACCTAGATCTTAGCAATTTTTATGAATTCTGCTATCGATGGAAGGCCCATCCTGTGAAAATGATGCTGTTACGACAAAATACTATTGTGTATGTAGTAAATGAAAAGTCATCTATATCATATTGTGAAATAAATGAAAATATTACAAACTAGTATATTAAAAAAAGAAGACCGTTCACTCCGTACATGGGAATTTCTGAAAACGCTTCCTTTGAGAGAGAAACAACGATCTGTTCTTTGTCCCATTGGGTACGATAGCCATCCCCATTTCTTGGGGAATTCTCATTCCATTTGGCTTCTGTGACACTACACCATTTCCTGTTTCTCTTCCTTAGTAACTTATTGCTTTTCCTTTAAAGAATCCTTCCCCCATCCCCCTTTCCTGTCCCCTTAATTGGGAGCTTTTACAAGGTTCAGCCTTTAGGTTTCTAATCTTTTCTCTTTGTAGTCAGATCACTGGGAAGTTTATCTATTTTTACCTTTTCAACACCTCTGTGCTAATGAATTATTGACCTTTTCTGTACTACAAGCTTAAATCCACAATTGTCTGGAGGACATTTCTCCTATCACCTCACACTTGGCATGTCTCAAACTGGAGTATCCTCCCTCCCCCCTCCCTCACAAGAGCATACTCCTTACAGATGAATCAATGAAGACAGCTTTCATGAACACGTCCGGAACATCACCACTCTCACCAATTCTATAGTGAGAACTTCCCAAAAGTGATCTTCCATAACAGCAGAAGAATTACCATCATACAAAATTCTTACATAGTTCAAACTTTATACTTAACTTCTAATTTCCATTTCCATCCTGAGGTTATAAAATATTTTTCTTATGATTTATAACCCGAATATAAGCTAAGGTTATATTTCAGAATAAATTTAATTTTTTAATTACTTGCTTTATATTCTTTCATCATCTATAATTATCAAGTGTGTATGTTAGCTGAAAGAAATAGGATAGTGGGATTGGGTGGGAAAAGTAAAATAGTCCCTATCGAAATACCACACTAATTCCAGACTTAGAGTAGTTCATGCCAAGCAAAACAAAATAATGAATGACCTGTCCTGATGGAACTATTTTTCAAACTCATCTGGTTTGGATGGCTGACAGCACCTCCCTAGTTTTTTTCTTCACCTCTTCTATGTAGTCAAATCACGGTCCTTTCATGTCCCTCTTCATTCATGGAAACAAAAAGAAGTTGTACTGAGTGAGGTCAGGTGAGTGAGCTGCGTGGAGCAAGAGAGGTATGCTGTTTGTGACCCAAAACTGGCACACTCAAATGGCTTCGGTTGCCGGTACATTGTCGTGGTAGCCAAACCAGTCCCGTCTGCCATAAAGTAGGCATTTTTTGTCGCACACAGTTAGGCAATCTTTTCAGAACCTCTGAACAGAAAGCTGGATTAACAGTCTATCCCGCTGGAATGAACAACAAATGCACTACAAATTTGGGCAGTTGATGGACATCCAGCACAAGGTTTGTCATCAATTGACATTTCACCTTTTTTTAGAAATGAGAAAATCACTCATACACTTGAGTTTTCCCCATAGCGCTGTCCTTGTAAGCTGTGTTCAACCTCACAACAGTTTCTGCAGCATTTTTCCCAAGCAGGAAACAAAATTTCACAGCTACACGCTGCTCTCTTAATTTGGTCAGAACAAGGGAGCAAAACTGCTTTTATGAAATAAATAAATAGATTTCTGTGACCAGAGAGAACCTTCCCAGGTGATACCACTGGGCGCACTAACTCAGTACTGCTTGATGCTTGCCTACCA